CTGCAAAATTTTCCACAAAAGTTAGTGATGAATTACCTGATAAGACAGAAATTGACAACTGGACATAGAAAAAAAATGGTGTGGTGGTTGCAAACAGTCTTTTACATCAAATTTTTGATATCGGCATCAGGTTTTACTTGAAATTATTCCAATAATTTCAATTGATCATCATTATTCAAAAGTCTTTGACAATCAAGATTCAGTCATTCAGAGAAAAACATATGACCGCCATTAACTGACCGAGTTAGGAATCAGGACAATTAGTACTTCTAAAATACATTACTATTTCATGGCTTCATAAATAATTTTCCATTTTTGTCTATCAACTTTATTCTCAAAACTTCTAATTTCCCAATCAGAGGTCTTGTTGCCAGATGTAGTCTATTGTCATACCCAGGACTACAGTAGTGTAGTAGTTTGTTCATTATGAAATAATGGGTTTTGGTAAGCCTGATATTCTGTATTTTAAAGAACTGTCATGTCTATTCCTAGACTATGCTAATGGTAATATGAGTACTTTGTTGGTTCCAATACAATTGTTTGAATGACTGCAAAGTACTTTCCCCTCCCCAAGTTATAGGCAGAAACACACAAATGCATGCTGGGATTTCTTCCTCTCCAATAAAATAGGCCAGTTCTCAGTTTCATCTTACTAAGTCCCAGTCTATCTTGTTTTGAAGTCAGAAAGCTGTGTTCGTTTATCTGAATTTGCTCTTGTACATGAACCCCAATTCTTAGTTTGAACATTTGTCATATTACTGTTATTTTGCCTTGTTATGTTAATTTGCCTTGCATATATTGTTTGCTTGCTTTATATTATTTTTTTGCCCTGTTCTTTTCTTTTTCTTATTACTTATAGCTATAGGTTTCAAATCACACTCTAGTTGATTATTCAAAGAGGCGACTTCTTGAGGGTATCGTACAGGGGAGATGATTCCAGCTTGTAGAACTGTTTGGAAGCATTTGGAAACCATGCAACATGTTGACTCAAACCTTGTGAGTGAACATTGGACAGACAAAACTGTTTAAAAACTGTTGGTGGCACTGGTAATGGACAGATAGAAGCTCTGTGGCCTTGGTTGGCAATCTGTCTAGAGATGGTAACATAATAAAAACACTCATCTCCCACCTGTAGCCTGGCCACTCATATGGATATATCACCCTGAAAAACTGAGTGATATGACTGAAATTCTTGCTTTTAATATGTCCTGTGTCTGTCAAATTTAGTTCAAGTACCAAGTCTTTTTATCAAGACACCTAGAAAAGTTGCCATTCAAGGCTTGACACTCCATCCTAGCTATATATATATATATATATATATATATATATGTATATATGTGGCTGATACCTGTTCTAACACTTTCGCCCTAGCCCCTCAACCTCCGACGTCTTACTCTCTGGGTTGAGGTGTCTACTCAGTCCTAACCGAACTTAAGGGAGTGGCCATAGGTCCCCTGAGCATCCGTAGATTATTCGACCGGTCCGCTGGTTTAATCCTGCCTCCTGCCAACGTTGTGTTTTATTTGATCCAGAAAGCAGAAGTGATGTCTGTCCATTCACGGTCGACTGAAGATGTAGACACAGCTGGGAAGTTTGCGCTAAGAAATTTAGAATGCAGCAAAAAAAGAAATTAATATCTGCAGAAAGCCAGACAAACATCGACTGAATGGTTGAATTGGTAATGTCTTTTATATAGCAGAAAAGAATAGATACATACACTGGATTCTAGACACATGGAGAGTGTATGTGATTATCTTGTTGTTAAACTGTTTCAGAATGATATGACTCTTGCGATGGAGGGATAACGATTTCTGTGCAGGGCTTAAAGTTATAGTGGCGTTCCTCCTCCCAACGCTTGCCCGGGCCAATTCTCTCTTCAAGAATTTTCTCCAGTCTTTCTTTTTTTTATGCCTTTTTCAGCATAACTATGCGTTTATATAGATAAACCTGGCTGGTTATAACTGACCCTTGGCCCTACTACTTCGCACGCAATTATCACGGGGGTTCTGGCTTCTTCAACCAAAATCATGTGAATTCCAAGGTTCCTTCTAGCTTACTCAGCTCTTTTAATCGATAAAAATTAATTCAACCATTTCCATTGTCTTCTGATGACCCAGATTCAATGGGTACAATTTCTGCCCTAGATCAGATTTCCCCATCAATAAACAAAATGCTCTGATTTAATTTTGCTATTCAAATCTACTAAATTTCACTAAAAAAAAAAAATGTGTGTGTGTGTTTCCCAGACTCTCTTTCTGTCACACTGTAAGTTCATCTACCCTTTGACAGGTCTTGTTTTCCATCCTGCAGGGTGACATGTCATTATTATCACCAGTGGAAAGTCTATAGTGGGAAGCTGGTTTAGATGCCAACTAAATGTCCATATGGCAGGTTGAATTGGGTTGCATTTTATTTGTTAAAAAACATAAATGCTTAAAATTTGACCTGATTGACAATATTTTTTGTGCATATTTTTTCTTGCTTGAATAGTTAGCACATTAGCATTCTGACCATTAGGACTGGGTTTCAAATCTCTTTTTTCCTTCTGTCGATGAGATCCTGGAGAGATGATTCCAGCTTGTATTGTTATTTTTATTAGCACCTGGAAATCATAGCATGTGTTGACCCAAGCCTTGTGAATGAAATTGGACGGACAAAACTGTTTGGAAGCTGTCAGTGGTACTGCTAATGGTTGGCAATCTGTCTAAATATGCTGAAATGATAAAAATACCCATTCTTCTCTAGTAGCCTGGCCAGTCATACAGATATGTCACCCTAAAAAAGTACTTTTCTTTATAGATGTAGCAAATTTTTTAATTAATATATGCTTATATATATCAGATGTGTGGGTGGTGTAGTAGTTTTTATATTCACTTATGCGTGAATTCCCTTGGAAAAGGTATGCATGCATCTCTTCTCCTTACTCCCAGCTGTGGGGGTCAAAAGGAAGTTGATCAAGGCCTGTGGAGGTCAAAGGTGGTGGTGAGGGCCAAAATAAGTTGTGGTGTCATATAACTAAAATTCACCAAATTCCAACCAAATATCAATGTTCTTGCTACTGCTTATCAAACACCACCTCCCCATTAATGATATCAACCAATTTGATAAAAAGGTAAATTAATCTTTAAAAAATTTTTCATGTGTTCATTATTACTTAAATTATTTATGAAGTTTTTCTCATTATTGTTACTATTATTATCATTCAAATAAACACATCTAGGATAGGAAGAGGAATAGAAATTAAAAAAAGAAATTATGAGGAAAGAGAACTTGGAAAATCTGACACTCACAGGGCAGATTGAAGGCAAGAGGAGCAGAGGAAAACACGCATAACATACTTGATGAGCTTGAGAAAATGGATGGTAGAACAGGGTTTAGAAATAAAGAAAATGACAGGAAATTGTGGAGGGCTATGATCGCCTACATCCTAAGGAGACATGACACATAAATAAGAAGAAAGCCAGAATAGATCTTAAGGAGTCACTTATGCAGAACAAATGTGTATGCTTGTAAAATAGTATGTTGTCTGTCTGAAAGTTGACTGATTGATTTGTTGTTTATGATTTATCAACCCTTTTGCTGATTATTTAAATCCAGAAAATATTTTTTAGTTTGTAAGAATTTTTAGGAGATAATAATAATTTACAGATACAAGTCCTACCAATTAACCCATAGCTGGGTGGGGGGAGATCACATCCAAGCTTACAGCACCTGGTATTCCCAAGAGATCATCCATCTCTCTACTGACCAGGCTTGACATTGCTTACCTTCGGTGATTGTACAGGAACCAACATACTATATAAAATTGTATGTATGTGAGTGTTTATGATTTATTGATTGTTTTTTATGGCTTATCAACCCTTTTGCAGATTATTTAAAGCAAAAAAATATCTTTTAAGTGGTAAGAATTTTTGGGAGATAATACTGATTTACTAATACAAGTCATACTAATTAACCCATAGTTAAGGGGAGAAGAGGTGGAATCTTATGTTTCCCAAGTGTATTTGTGCATATGTAAATATAACAGACCCAACTGGAATTGGAAATTTGGCTCTCTGGTTTTGAGCCATCACCCCTTACACCACCCACACATCCAAACTGACAACACCTGACATTCTCAAGTAGTCACCTATCTAGGTACTGACTAGGCTTATCATTGCTTAACTTCAGTGAATTGTGAGAACTGGTGTTTAACATGATATATAAGTTCCTCATGTGTGAAAGTGAAAGAAAAAAGTGTGTATGTGTGTGTTGAGATAAAATTTCTGTGTAAAAGGGAGATAGTGGATGTATGAAAGTGAAAGAGTGTGTGTGATGGAGATAGTATGTTAGATGTACACATAATGTGTACACAAAACTTAGCTTGATGTAGCAGAAGACTACGAACATAAAGAATTTAATTCTGAGTGCTCCACAATTTTGGCCTTGTACCAGATTAAGTGAAACTTAGTAAATATATGTGGGTACCTTGTTGTGGAATGAGGGTTCATAAACCGCACAGACCATTATAACAGTATAGTGAGTTTGATCCTCACTGGGTGCCGCACACTTATGCCCAAATAATTTTAAATAAAATGTCTAACATTGAAGACGGAGTCAAGAAGTTATTTTAGTACTTGTGACTTTCTACCTTTTTGAACAAACCAACATTCATATGGTATGTACATATTTTCTTAAAAGTATTTTTTATTCAGAGTCATATGTGGGCCAAATTCTTTGTTTTATAAAGTCTTGCAGAAATAAAAAAAACAATTGTTCCTTCCTTTGATTTCTGTTTTATTTTATTTTTTTTCATTCTTTGAATTTAACTTTACAAATAAAAATCCATGTAAAAAAAACAAAAAACAAAAAAAGAAACAGATTATTTTAAAAACATATGACTTTGCATTTTTACCAATAAAAAAGATGGCTCATCTGCAGTTTTCGTTTTTTGGGGGGGAGGGGGGATTGCAAAAAAAGTTTGCATGACCTCAAAAGAGTTTCTGGAAGAGAAAAGAAAATTAGTCAAAAACAAGAAAGTAGTACAAGTAAAAAAAGAACAGAGTAAGGGGAGAGATAAAAAGAGAATGAATAGGAGAGTAGAGAGAGAGAGAAAATAATGGCACAAAAGAGAGAGAGAAAAGATGGTACAGAGAGAAAAGATGGTACAGAGAGGAAAAGAGATAGTAAGGAGAGAGAGAGAGAGAGAAGATGGTACAGAGAGGAAAAGAGATAGTAAGGAGAGAGAGAAAAGATGGTACAGAGAGGAAAAGAGATAGTAAGGAGAGAGAGAAAAGATGGTACAGAGAGGAAAAGAGATAGTAAGGAGAGAGAGAAAAGAGATAGTAAGGAGAGAGAGAAAAGATGGTACAGAGAGAGAAAAGAATATGAGAGTAAGGAGAGAGAATGGTGAGGAGAGTAAGAAGAGATAGAAATATTTGGGAAAGGGGATTACTGTGTTAGAGAATATGAGAAAACTTATTAATTTATGAGAGAGGGCAATAAAAGAACAAGAATTAAGAAGACAGAATATAATGATTGACATTGCATTTAAATTTTTGAAAAACAGAATTGACTGGAAAGCAAGAAGCTGGAAGTGAGTTCCACAAGCGAGAAGTTTGACAGAATAAACTGTTAGCATAGAACTTAGTTACATCTCACCATTTCCACTGTAAAATCTAGTATTACACTTTAATTTATAAAGTACAAGTATCATATTGTCCTGACATGCTTATTCTTTTATTTCATAAATACCTCAATTGTGTGTGCAGCACCGGTGTAAGCGTCTAGTCCCCTACCCCAAATCTATTATACAGCCCCTCCCCTATGACATCTCAATTTTTGTAAGGCAGTACAGGTTGAGTATCTTTTACTCTTAATTACCAAATTCAAAAACGTCAAATCCCAAAGTTTTTCAGGTGTTGAAATTTCAGAAAGCAACATGGCTACCCATAGCATGATTATTCTGTTGCAACATTACAAATAAAATGCTGAATTTTTTCAGTACGCATTACTTTTAACTGAAATCAGAATCTAATTTTTGTTTTTATATAAATACTGTACCTGTATGTATTGGAACATTTTTAATCAAAACACGCCATCTTTGGTAGCACAGCTGTTTGAGGTTTCCTACAGACCCACTGAACTTAAATAAAGTCAATTCAGGTTTCCTATGGTAAAAATTTTCTTTCCCAAGTGAAAATCATCACAAAAATAGCAAAAGTCATTTTGTCACAGCTTATTTTCTCTCAAATATGGGTTTCATACTTTTTTAGGGGTAAAATATTGAAAATGACTGTTTTATCATCACCTAAACGAATATCAAGGAAACTTTTGATCTGAACCCCATGAAACTAGGTATTTTCTGAAAGCAAAAGATATATTCTTTCATTTAAAAGTAAAATTAGCTGGTGTAAATGACTCAAAAATTTTTTTTCAGTGGGTAAAATGTGAAAAAAATAGTGAAAATTTTGCATTTTTTCTTGTTCTAAACAAATATTTCCCCATTAATGGAAATTAACCATTTTTTTTTTTTTTTTTTTTGAAAATCAGAAAGCCTAGATCATAATCAAACTATTTCAGGCATAAAATTGAGAGTTTTGAAGGAAATCAACATTCCTAGGGGTTCAAAAAATGCGACAAAATCCATTGTTAATTTTCAATTATGACTGCCAAGGGTTAAAAAAATTGACACCTGGCCACGGAAATCTTTAGTAAAAGGCAAGAGATTTATCTGCAATTCCTAACCACCAGAAACCAAAAGTTTTTTTTTTTTCCTAAAAATAGTGATAAGGGAAAATAAACCTAATTGACTTTGACGTCTAGGTCAAAGGCCAGCCAGCCAGCCAGCTAGCAATAAACGGACGGCAAACCTTAGAACAAGTTGTAATAAAACCCACCACTCCCAGATAAAAGCAAAGGGTGAATAAAAAAGGGTTCACAATTACTAGGGCTTCATATAACCTATGTTTGAACAATGGCTTGATAAGTTTTGTTTTGTTTTTAACACCCCGTGACCCGGGTGATGACAACAACACTTAGCAGACAACATTGTTTTTTTTTCGCCGCATATCTTTTGTATTTCCCATCGCCGGTCCATTTAGCCTTTCTTTTTATTCAATGATGTTCATGCCAAATGAAAGAGAAAGGAATGAATTTTGAATGATGTTATTTTGAAGCGAAAATGAATATTTTTTCATTAAAAAAAAAAAAAAAAAAGGATTTTTCTCAGAAAATTGTGCATAATTTCTTAATGCTAACCAACGAAAGACATTTTCCACAGCCAAATCAAAGATTAATTACCAGTGAATAATTCCATGTGCAAAAAAATAGCCGTCTGGATCCTATAAGGTCGCCCTAAAAGGTCCAGAAGTTTACTAATTGATCGAAAACCTGTTGCGCATAATTGTATTTTTTCACGGTCAGTTTCCATTATTTCATCTTGATATTATCATTTTCGGACAGCCAAGTCATCAAGGATTCAGGAAAACACTTTGACATAGGTTTTCTTTAAGAACTTTACATTCTATGAGGTGTTTAAAATGTTACTGACGAATGAGATTTTTTGCCGCATATTTCGTTTACGCGCCATGTTGGATTTTCCTATATGACAAAAACAAGGGTTTTAAACAGCTGTGGTAGAGACTGATAGCTTACTGAATTTTCCTTCTCGCACACCTGATGTCATCGATGATGTACTCTCTCTCCGTCTAGCTTCTCACACCTGATGTAGAAGTAGAGTTTGGTGTAGCATTTATTTTTGGTAAGAAGTGATCATGTTTTTTGCAGAAAGTACAAAACATTATTTTTACGTGAAATGTTAATTTTCTGCACTTAAAAATCCATGTGAGTGTCACATGACCAGCATCATTACCTGTATCTGTATGCACACAAAATTTATTAAATTTTATATAAAACTACTTTCACGGTATCTATATAAGCTGTGTTATGAAATGTAAAGGGATATCGTGTTTATGCTTGGGTTCCATTCCTAGGCTGCCCCATTTTATAGATTCTATATCCGCGTGCATGTATTGAAATAAGGACAAACACATACGTAGGGAAAAATACTGGTATATCTGAAGAGGTATTTACAATAGAGAGATTAGTAGTCAAACGAACGCAGGTTAGTCAGTAACAATCAGAAAGAGTATAAAGTCCAACTGTATCTTCCGGTAGAGAGACGGAAGTGTGATGGTCACCTGATCTTTCCAGAACTCTATAGAACTGTCCTATTAGTAGTAGAGAGATCAGTCCATTCTGATGAGAAGGTGTGTGCGCCCCAACAATATCCAAATTAAGATGCCTGTATTCCAAAATCTAGAAAATCTGAAAAGCGAAGCACTTCCGGTTCCAAGAATTTTGGATAAATGATTCTCAACCTGTATTCATATAGAATACAAATTTTATTGTAACCTAATTATGTACAATAATGGATCATATGCAATGAACACTTCAGCTATAAAAATTGAAAATAAATCCAATGTATCTAAATACAAATTAGAGACATGTCATGATTGATAATTCAATCTTAAATAAATCAACAATGTTCTGCAGCAATTTTTTACATCGATTTGAGATTTTTTCTTGCTAAAAAGTTGAATAATTTTAACACATTTGATATTAAGGATAAAAAATAGTGAATTTCGTATAGTGTTTTTTTTTTTTTTTTTGTTTTTTTTTTGACTTAACATGAAGAAAACAAATTCAGATTTTGATTTAAAAAAAAAAAAAAAATCCTAGAATGACTTCCCTAGAAAATTATCCTCAAATATAAAAGTGGCTCATTAGCTGAATGGAACTATGTTTAATGATGGCAAAAGTGATCATGTAAGAGATTATTTGAGCCATGAGGTGATATGGTTGGAAAGATTTCACATTAGTTAAACGATTCTGCCTAATATGGAAATTTCAGAATTGAAAATACAACCAGAAGTATTTACGAAAGTTATGTCTGCCTTTTTGTAAAAAAAATTTAAATAAGTTACTTAAATTTACAAGAGCGGTATAAGAAATGCTGGAATGAGGGAGGAGTAAATTTATAGATTAGTTAAGACTTAATTTGCATGAATGAATCGGGTGTAATCTTTTATTTACACCCCCACTCCCAAATAAAAAAAAAAACAGTTCTCGGTCAATCTTTTTACTTGATCGCTTGGGGCACCTCAACATAGTGTAATAGTTAGAAAGCTTGTCACGCTAGAATAATTATGACTTATTAGTGAGTTTGATCCGCATTGGGTGCCCCATACTTTCAGCCTTGTGCCACATCTAAGTTGTACTTAGAAAATCACTATTTTTGTTTAATGGGACCCCATTGCATGAGTGATTTTTTTTATCTTTTTATAAGAAAATTGTTAAAAAATAAGAAAAATATATTTGTACATATTAAAAAACTTTTTATACTATTGATGTTTTAGTATGTCCCCAGTGAATGTGTGGTATTATGGTATATGTCAGATTGAATGGAGAAGAATGGGTTCTTGTAGTAATTAAGTTGTTACGGTGATTGGTTGCGAATTGGATTAGCTAGTAGGATAGTCAGTGAAGACTAACATTTTCCCTTTGGCCTTGTGTCACAAACATGTATATTCATGTATAATAATTTCTTTTTGTTCAGATGAAAGCACCAACCACTGAACATTGCAACAAGGGAATTTGTTACAATTATCTACCATATCATTCTCATTAATAGTCCTTTTCATTTAATGACCAATTGTTATAGTTTTGAGCCCTTTGAACAAGTCGAGATCAACTTTGTTCCCATTGGTGGTGTTAGTTTTCTTTGGGAGAAATTGCCACAGTTTAAAAAGCTTATATAATGAGCTTCACTTGGAGTTTCAAATAGCTATTTGGTTCTGTCCTTTCAACACTGTCAGTCTAGTAGAAAGACTATACTGAATTCCCAAACAATGGCAAAGACAACAGTAAACCATTCCACTTCCGAAGGAGTCATGGCAATTCACAGACAATTAACCGTATTAGGGTTCCATCAAATGGACATTTTATAGTTTTTGAGCCCCGTAAATGATTTTCTGTTCAATTATGGAACTGTATTAATGTTATTTGCATTTAAGAGAAGGATTAAAATAAAAGTTTCGTATTTCTAATTAAAAAATAAGGGTTTAGGTCTACAAATCCTGGTTTGTAGGGATGAGCTAAAATTCCCGAAAAGAGATTAAATTTTGCATTTGACCCACTTAGAATGCATTTTGGGGATTTTCAGTGCCAAAAATAAATTCAGAGACACCTCACCCATCCCCACCTCATCAGAGGAATTCAATATGATTTTCTGATAAATACAAGGAAAGTTATATCGAAAACTGATATTTGATAGCACATGGTACCAAAGTCTATTTAACAATAGTCTATTTAACATGTTAAATGAACTGAGTAGGTTTTAAGTATCTTCTTGACAACAATTTTCAGATATTTTGCAGATTGAAAGTTTTTAA